CAAAAAATGAAATGTTGCGCAGGGTCCGGAACACGTGGCCCTAAGCACCTGCGCACTCAAACCCCCTTCAAAAAAAAAAAAAAAAGCATTCCTCCAACCCCTGAAGCACCTCTTATACCACCGAATGAGACGAACACCAACCGGCCTGCCACCCACCACTGATGGACCCCCCGGCACCAGTCCCCAAACCTACCTGGAAGCCCTCTAAATCATCCGCCCCCATATCCCCCAAACCCCAAGGCCCCCAGTTATGTGTGTGCAGGTGTGCTGTGTGTGTGCATATTTGTGTATGTGTGTGCCCGTGTGCGAGATTGTTGGTGTGTGTGTGTGTGTGTGTGTGTGTGTGTGTGCATGTGTTGTGTGCATGTGTGTGTGTTTATGTGTGTTGTGTGTCTGTGTGTGTGTGCACGTCTGTTTTTCCTTTTTTTTTGTTGTTTTTTGAAGTTTAAAATACATGGAGTTCAAAAAATAAATAAACAAACATGTCGTTGTACATCCCATTTTTTTTTTCTTGTTTTCTTTTTCTGGAATCTGACAATCTGCACCCGTGATTTGCTCGAGCTGTGTTCCCTCAGAGGATTGTAACCCTGATCACACTGGCACTTACGGGAATGTATCTTGCCATTTTCACCGCCAAATCCGTGTTCCTGTCTGTTTTTTTTTTTTTTTTGAGTTTCTGGCCTCTGACAACCTGGCCACGGAGCTGAGATGCCCTCACTGGGGGCACACTCACACTAACACTTCCGAGAATGTATACAGCTGCAATCACGCCCAGAGCTTTGTTTCTTTTTCTTGTTTTGCGAGTTTTCACGGCCGCAACTTTTCTTCTTCTTTTTTTTTTTTCTGTTTTTCCCGTGAGAGTACCATAAAGAAATGGAGTGGGACCCAGGCTCGGCAAAACTCGGAGCGCAGTGAAAATCAGGGTCGGCAAAAACAGGCTCGGAGGTACTGGTGGTTTAAAAGATGTATAACCTTATATTTTTATTTTTTTCTGCTTTTTTTTTAGCCCTAAGAAAATCTTTGTGAAACCAAAAAAAAAACACTCATTTCATCTTTTGGTTTTGTTTTTTTCCATTGTGTTTATGAAAGCTCAAAAAGTAAAAATAAAAATAGGAGGTTGTAGACCTCAAAAAGATCTACAACCGCATATTTATTTATTTACTTATTTGATGAATTTTAGCCCACAAAAAAATACTTGCGGGTTCCGATGAATCCCGTTGCTTCGGCGTTTAAAACCCAAATAAACGGAATTTAACGGCCATTGAATCATTCAACGCGGAATCCACTTTCGGACACACAGAAGTAGGTGATGTGCCGCCTTGCTCCATGTTGGATGTGTGGACTGCCTCGTCTGAGCTCCGCCACTGCCTTAGTGCCCATTCCGGTTGCTTCGCAGGTTGTTCTTGGCAAGCTGCTGTGTCCGCTGCGTGGTATGGCTGTGTTGTTGGTGTTGCCTTGCCGCCCCTCCGCTGGCCTTGCCTTTGGTGTCTGTTGCTTGCATGCCTTGTAGTTTGGTAGCCTTGTTGATGTTGCCTTGTGGTTCGCTGCGCCGCTGCCATGCTGCTTGTCCGCTTGCGCTGTCACTCCTTGCAGTGTGGTTGCCTTGCTTGTGTTGCCTTGTGCTTCACTGCACGGTTGCTGTGCTGTTCATCCGCTTGTCATGGCGTTCCTTGCAGTCGTCTTCCGCGTTTCTGCAGCCTTGCCTGGTGCTTCGCTGGGTTTCTGCCTGCTGCTATGTTCCCTTTGGAGGACAGTTTTAAAAAAAAAAAAAAAAAAAAAA